TATATATATATATATATATATATATATATATATATATATATATATATATATATATATATATATATCGGTGTAGCAAGAGGTCCCTTGCGTGGTACCGAGATATGAATCAGTATCTTCCATCTCTAGAACGAAAGAATTAATATTTCTTGTTTTTAAAGATGAAAGATATTTGTTATATAATATAAACCGACTGCAGCTGTATAAACTGAGGTGTACGTACACCGCAGCAAGCGAACAACTGCATAAAGAGTGATTAAAAAAAGAAGAAACTTAAAGTTTTTATAAAACTCTCTATAAATATGTAGCTTTTTTTGTTGTTTTGAGTTTATAAAGTCTAGGGTTTAGGGTTTAGGGTTTAGGGTTTAGGGTTTAGGGTTTAGGGTTTAGAGCTCCCGATTCAATCCACCAGAGACGCCGGGTTGCGGTTTATTTTTTCGTGTGCGTTCGGCGGTGTATTAAGGTGTGTTTGTGTTTTTTTTTGTTAAATATAAATTATTTAAAATAATAAATAATAAATTATATTTATTTATTTCGGTTTCTCCCGCCGCCGGTGATGCCGCGCAGCAGCCGGAGCTGCCTATACACCCGAAGCACTGCAGGGAGCGGTGGGTGGGGTTTACCTTGGCTTGTATATTGAGGCTCAGAGAGCATAAAAACAGCAGCTTTCTTCGTTGATAGAAAAAAATATAGTTTTTTTTTTCTTTTTTATATTAAATTTTGCAGTTATGTTTTTATTTAATCTCTGAGTCGATACGCTGCTTCTCTGCTTTCTTCTCGCTACTACCACAATGGCCGCAGTGGGCGGGTGCTCCCTTCCCCAGGCCTTAATAACCCATTTTCTTTTTCGCATTTTTTTCCTTTTTTTATTTTTCTCAGTTTCTGTATTCTCTTCTTCTTCTGCATCAGCAGCAGACGCTTTCTTTCCCCCCCGCAATACTAGCGGCTACTCCCTCGGGGCCCCCCAAGCAGGCAACCCGCATTGGCCCCCAGCCCCCCCGGGCTTATCTCAACCCCTACAGCAGAACAACAACCACAACAACCCCACCACCCCCGCCGCCAGCAGCCGCTTCAGCCAGCTGCCTGATCTCGGCTCCCTGGGGGGACTGGGCCCGAACGGGAAAGCAGATGTAGCGGTGTTCCCGCAGATGCCGACTGCTGCTGCTGCAGCAGCAGCAGCAGCAGCAAATCCATATGAGCAGCAGCAGCTGCCGTTCATGACGCCTTTCCCGCGTATGCAGCAGCCACAACCACAGCAGCAGCAGCAGCAGCACTACCCGCATATGCAACAGCACCCTCAGCTGCAGCAACAGTATATGCAGCAGCAGCAGTACCAGCGGCAGCCATACCCGCAGCAGCAATATCCGCAGCAGCAATACCCGCAGCAGCAATACCCGCAGCAGCAACAACACCCGTACCTGCAGCAGCAGCAGCGGCAGCAGCAGCAGCAGCAGCAGCAGCAGCAGCAGCAGCAGCCTGCTCAGGGGCCAGTTGTACTATCAAAGCTGCAGAAAGGGCGTACGGGTGTTATCTCATCTATATTTGCGGATCCGAATACAGCAGCAGCAGCAGCAGCAGGATCTGGTGCAGCAGCAGCACGTGTGTCTGGGGGTGGGCGTAGCCAGCAGCAGCAGCAGCAGGAGCTGCTGCTGCAGCTCTCATCAGGAGGAGCAGCAGCAGCAGCAGCAGCAGAAGCAGAAAAGCTGAGGGTGCTGGGGGGGGGAGAGGTGGGGCTGGCTCGTCTATCTGACGGCACAGTACCCAGCAGCAGGCATCCGTATGCAGCAGCAGCAGCAGCAGGTGCAGCAGCAGCAGCAGCAGCAGCAGCAGCAGCAGCAGCAAATACTGCTCAACCCAGTAAACATTTCAGTGCATGGAGAGATGCACAACCAAACCAAATTCAACTCGTTGCTGTTGGGGACTCTGCTTTGTTTCAGGGCTGTAAGTATATATATATTATATATTATATATTATATATTATATATTATATATTATATATTGTATATTATATATTATATATTATATATTATATATTATATATTATATATTATATATTATATATTGTATATTGTATATATTATATATATATATATATATATTCTTGTTTTGTTTGGTGGCCGTAGAGAAGTGAAGTAAATTATGATAACGATAAAATAATATTAAAATAAAAAATAATTATAATGATAGTAAATGTTATATTGATGAGAGATGCTGTGGTTGCTATTTATATTTATATTTATATTTATATTTATATTTATATTTATATTTATATTTATATTTATATTTATATTTTTATATTTATATTTATATTTATATTTATATTTATATTTATATTTATATTTATATTTATATTTATATTTTTATATGCATCCTAAACCCTAAACCCTAAACCCTTACAGCAGCAGCAGCAGCATTTGTTTATATATAGAGAAGACAGAGACAGCGGCTGTGTTTCTTCTTATTCGTTGTTTGTCTTTTTCTTATTCACATCTCTCTCCTGCTGCTGCTGCTGCTGCTACTGCTGCTGCTGCTGCTGCTGCTGCTGCTGCTGCTGAAGGGGTACCCAAACGCCCCGTTGTGCTGCTCTCTACAACCGCACGGGATGCAGTCGAAGGCGCCAGCAGCTTCGTTAACTCCCTGCTTGAGAGAGCGTGGCTATTGAGCAGCAACGA